TTCGAGGTGCGGCCGAATCCATCCGGTTCTTACGGTGGCTCCCTTGACTTTGTTGGTGCTCCCTATGGTCTGGAGCCTGGTGCACTTCGTGCTGCTTCTGATGAGATTGTGCGCAACTGGGATAATGTGGAGATTCGTATAAAACAATTTTGGCACGGCTTCGAGTACGGTGTGATACAAGACGAGGATGCGGATGCGTTTCCTGCTCACGTCAGGAGAATGCCCAGGCAAGTTGCCTTTAATCTTAGCTCAGGGCGAGCGCGGGAATCGAAATTGTTTCCATGTCTTCGGCAAATTCTGCACACAATTCTAGAACGTGTCCGTGTGCTCGGGTTTCATTTGACACTCATGGACTTGCACGTGCTCCGGCAGTCTTCAGAACACGCATGTTTTGAGGAGCATCTCGATCTACACAATGCCAATGATGTCGCCATAATCTGTGTTCTTTCTAGAAGTGATTCTCACGATGAAAGTGAAGGTGCGGAAGAGTATGCTCAGGAAAAAAGTGGAGTTCACATCCGGACGTTACCTTTGTCTCAAACATGTCCCAAAGTACGTTTTTCATGGTTGTGTGTTGTGATGGAACTTTTGTAGGTGTGGCTGCCTTTAAAGCAGCCGGGCGACGGTGTCTTAATTCGCGGGAACAAGCACTACCATATAACGTGTCCTCCCCCGGGAGCAGGAGTTAATTTAATTTAGGATCAAAATCAAGAAGGACCTCACCAAGAGACTTTAATATCAATATGGACCCCGCCTTCCAAAATAATGTCGAAATGGACCTCACTTCAAAACAAAATATCAAAAGGGACCTCACCGTCCACCATTTTTGACCATCATTACCTGGAATTTAATGTCCCATCATATCGACGCGTCTTCCCATAATTAATACCAAGACGGACCTCACCTTCAAATTTTTGTTGTTTTTTCTTAGAGAAGGAGCGTGGTAGCGCACCACGTGCGTGGGGCCCCGCTTACATGGGGCGACACTCTCGTGGCCTGAGCTGCCTACTCTTCGTCGGAGTCGGGGTAAAGGCCGCTGGGCTTGAATTTGAAGTAGTCCTCGAGTGACCTCGAGCTACAGGGTGGTAAACTGATTAAATCCTACTTGGGCGTACTCGGGGAGGTGTCGGGCGACTTCCCCTTGCCCCCCGGCGAGTTCCTGGCACCGACTTTCTGGGCCGGTCGGTCGCCGCCGCCGCCGCCGCCGCCGCCGCCGCCGTCGTCGTCGTCGTCGTCGTCGTCGTCGTCGTCGTCGTCGCGCGCGCGGGGGAGATTAGAACCCAAGTCAGCCACAGGGCGACCACAGAGAGGCGATGAGTTGCCCCATATCAGCTGTCACGATATGTAAACCTGGAGCTGCAGAAATCGAGGGGGGCGCCCCCACAGTCGCAGTGATCGAAAATCTCGTCGCAGGACGCCGCCAGCAGGATTTTTTGCGCTCCCGCCTCGTCGTCGCTAGCGCACG